ATCCTCGTGGTTTAGGGGTATTTCCTTCACATCATGTCCTATTGCTTCTAGTACACCTCGTGCCCTCTGTTTTAATTGTTGTGCTTGTCTTGGTACTAATGAAAGCTTCATTGAGGTCTTGTAGCATTCGGTGGATTCTTGTTGATCACCAATTGTCTTCACCATCCCCAAAGGGGTAGGCATCTTGACGTATTATTGGTACATCACTAAAATTGATTTCATGTCATGGATCCAGGGTAGGAAGACAAAGAACCAATAACACAACGTTGTTGCATATAATTTACCCCTTTAATGTAGATGGGGAGCTTGATCTCTCTAATAGTATGGTTCGTTTCATCGTTGAATCCTCTTAGTACTGAGGATCTCTTGATTATCTTGGATTCTGGGATGTTTGTCCTGATCAGATCCTATAAGAGTATGATGTCCACCGAGGATCCTCTGTCCACAAGGATCCTCCTGAAAAGTGATGTAGAGAGTTAGCACAAATATATAATGAAGAAAATCATGGATATTTTCTCTATCTTGTTCATCAAAGGTGATTTATTTCTCTCCTGTTATCGATGTGTTCTTCCAGGTTCATTCTTTTAGAATTGGATATCTTAGCATGTATTTTTGTTGTAGAGTAGGAAGTTCCACAAATGTCAAAACCCCCAGAAATGATGTTAATTACCTTGGCGTCTGAAAGAGCGAATAGTTTTTCCAGGATCTTTTCAGGATCTGACTTCTTTTCTTTGGATCTTTCTTTTTGTCTTCCTAGGGTCTCTTTAAGATCTCCTTTGCTTAGGATGTATGTAATATCCTTTTGAAAACCATGCAATCCTCAATGATGTGGCCAAAATCACCGTGGTATGCACGCCAATTATACTTGTATTTCAATCCTCTCGATTTGTCTCCTTTCCTAGGTCGCCTTTCCTTTTCGCCAAGATCCTACATGGCAAAGATTAATCTTGAAACATCCACAAAAAACAATACTCAATGATCATGGGGGAATCCATCTTCTTTTCCTTCATTGTCAAGTACATTAACCCTATGATGATCAGGTTTAGAACATGGTTTTTATTTATAGGATCATAAAAGCCTCCACAACAGTGGACATGTCGATATTAGGAATGTTTAGCACTTCCTTGCCAAACTTACTTACGAAATCTCTAAGGGATTCCTTAGGATCATGGACTACTCGATAAAAATCAATAGTGATCCTTTCTAATGTCTTCCTAAAAGAAAACTAGTTGTTAAAAAAATTAAATAAATGAGAGAAATAAGTAATGGAATAAGGAGGAACATTTCGGAGCCATATTAAGGTCGATCTGAAGCCTTTGCATAAACAGGTTCTTTTAAGTGTGGTGGAATTGGAATGATCTCCATGCTCTCTATATTATGCGATATGATTCTCAGGATCCGTGGTTTCACCGTACGACTTCATTGGGGGGGGGGGATATTCCTGATACAATCGAGATCATCTTCCTTAGTTTTGAAATTCCCTAGCCATGTAGGACTTATACCTACATTATTATTTGGGTCAAGATCCTCTGAGTTATTTTAAATTCATTATTATTTAGTAAGTTACCAATGTCTTGATTTTTAAGGGTAGTGAAGTTATTGTTAGGATCCCGCATCACATGGGTTTGATTATTTTTGATTTCTCCCCAAGTTAAAGCGGCATGAAGTGCTGAGGTTATAGTATCTCGATGATTGCCTAGGGATCCTGTGCTGTTGAAATCGAGAACCCTGGGTTGTAAAATTGAAGTGTAACAGCCCGAAATCCAGGTACCCTTTTATTTAGCCCTTCATCTTTAATTGTTGTCATTTTAGGGTTTTGTATGTTGGGCGAGTACGCTGGGCGTACAAGGAGTATGCTGCGCGTACTCGCGCGCTTCATTTAAACGCGTCCTCCCTCGAGTACGCTGGGCGTAACTGGTCCAGACCCAAAAACCCTAATTGTTGTGGTTGGCTATAAAAGGAATGAGATGGCTTGACTCCTCAGCCACCATCCCTCAGAAAGAAACCCTAAGAGAGTGTTCTTTCATTCCTAGCCCATTTGTGAGTGCTCTAAGCTTGGTGGTGTCATTTCAAGGTAGCAAAGGAGAAGAAGAGTCCATTGGGAAGGCTAGAAGTTGGTGTTCAAGTGTAGATCTGGGCTTAGCAAAGGTTGGAGCTTCATTCTAAGGTAAAAAGTTTGGATCTTGACTTATAGTTCTTGTGGTATGCTTTATGGACCATTTTCTAGGGTTTTGGTCCCAAAGGTGGAGACTTTATGAGTAAGTGGTATCCATTAGCTTAGATCCATCATATTTCTGGTCCATTTGAGTTGTAGATTCATAAAAATGTAATCTTGGACGTGAATGATTAGCCATGCATGAGATCTAGATCCTTGAGTTGAAATGGAAAGGTGTTAAGGAGTGTAAGAGCCTTTACAGTCATGCCAAGGCTTAAAGGTTTTGACTTTATGAGTAAGGATGCTTAAATAAAGCCGGATCTAGAAGTTAAAGTAGTGGCTTAACCGATTAAGACAAGAAATGAAGAATGTTTATATCTGACTATTACGCTGGGCGTAACTCCCAGTACGCGCAGCGTACTGGGTGGAGACCCCAACTTTTGGGTTGGCGATGTACGCCCTGCGTACATCAGGCTGTACGCCCCACGTACTGAAATGTTGACTTTTGTTGAGTTTTAGGGTTTTGGTCAACATGTGGACTTTGAGTCAAGGAAGGGTAAAATGGTCTTTTACCCCTCTGAGGAATGATGATAAGGGGTAAAGTCTAGTTGTGGAAGTCTATATTAATTAAAATGATATTCGGTATGATTAGGCGAGGTTGAGTCGTCGTTTGGGATTCAGATATAGCGAGCACGTGAGATTCTAGACTTTCCACGAGGTGAGTTTTCTCACTATACTGTACCCGGAAGGGTTTTATTGTGTGACCGCAAGGTCGGATATGTTATGAGTTGTATGCATTATATATGATAAGTTAATCATTTGTATGTGCTATGTATGCTATGCTTGATATGGGCTGGAAGGCATTATGTTATGGGCCGGAAGGCATATATGTTATGGGCCGGAAGACGTTGTGATGTGGACCGTAAGGTTGACGCAGGTAGGACTGGAAGGTCCGGGCCTGGAAAGGCGTATGTGCGTAAGTAGTATTTTGGGGAACTCACTAAGCATTTATGCTTACAGTTGTTGTGTTATGTGTTTCAGGTACTAGCGAGGACCGTGGGAAGGCGCCGGCGTGATTTGTACACACTGACGAAGGAACTATTTTATGATCATGGGATGTATTTTGTTACAATAACATTTGTTACACATGTGATTTCAGAATATTAAATGATGGTTTATGATGTTTGCAAAAATGAAAAAAATTGTTTGAAAATTCACATTGTTACACGAAGGTGTTGTTTCATGCAGTTTGTGGATTTCTGCTCTTATTCTTTCCATCTCCTTGAGTATTTTCTTGTTGTCCTCCCGTTGTTGGTTTAGTTGTTGCTTTACCATCTTCACCATGGAGAAGAGTTTGCTGTTAAAGATCAAAACAGGAGGATCCTAGAATCCCAGGGATCCCGGATTCCTATGGTTGATGATTGGAGATGTGTTCTTTTTAGAGGTATCTGGAGTTTTCCTCTAACGAAGAGGTCCTTTTGGAGGAATAGAGGAAGAAGATAAAGTTGGTTGTGTAGACATAATTTTCAAGAATTAAGAACAACACGACCCCATGTTTGGTGCCAAATTGTTTTCGTCAAAAATCGTTCAAATGGATATCAACCAGATTCCATAAGAGGCTATGGTGTTGTAAATAATGTGAGTACTGAATTGAGATAAAAATAACACATGTGGTTTACAAGAAAAACCCTTGATCCTTGTTAGGATATCCAACATAAAACCCTAGGAGGTGATAGTGATCACCTGCCTTGTATGATCATATTGATTTGAATGTAAATTATAGAGATGATGATATAAATACGATTACAAGTGTTTTCCTAGCTCTAGGTCTGTAAGGTGTCAAAAAATTATGCCTGTTGTGTGTGTTTTACAGGTGTATATATAGTCTAGGTTATGTAACTAAAAGTCTGATATTTATGGGACACTATTGAGCTGGTATTTACACGTGCTTTGACTTCATATTTCTGGGTCTGATGCTTGATTGGAACATTTTTTTGTTGAGAGTGAGGCTGGTGTTGACCATTATGCACATATGAGAAACAAACAAGAAATACAGTAGGTAAACTTGTTAGGAAATAATAATGACAATGTTTAGGATCCTGATGTATGTTCGTGATCTTGAGATTCCTTCAAGATCGTGATCCTGGATAGGTTTAAGAGCGACATAAAGAAGGAGAAACTCAAAACAATGGAGGGCGAACACGTCTTCGATGGCTGTTTATATGATATGAAATTTCTTTAGGAGGAGTAAGAGGAGAAAAATTTAGATAAGGGAAATTTTTGAACAAGGAAGGCAACTCCAAAGACTTGCAGAGAAGGTCAGTGGAGGAGGAGGTAAGCGACAAAAGATTATGGTTACCAGCTGAGAGTTTAACCTTTTGAAACCATGTTAATATTATAACTTATCTTTCAAGCTTCTAAATAGTAATTGTATATAAAAGCAATACATAGATCGAAAAGGAATTAAACCTCAACCAAAACCATACACAGTAACATATACGGTATACCACATCAACAAACAATATGGGAAAACATACTTTTTTTTTTCTGTGTTATTGTAGGTTAATGTTATCCTCTTCTATGAACAATATGGAAAACATATCTTTTTTTCATTTGTTATTATTAGGTTACGATGATTACATTAATCAAAATTATTATTTAGTGGACCCAAATAGATCTTCATGAGCAAATGATCAAATCGCTATAATATCTCATCGACCCTAGACTAAAACAAAGGCAACTAAAATTGCAAATCGATAGTGGAAGGGCAAAATAGTAATTCACCAAAGGCAATAGTCTATTTAAGCCCCTAGTTTGAAGTATGAACCAAAAATCATTAGAGAATATGGAACTCCAACTGTCCACCATCGTTTTCCTCTTCCTCTCAACAACAGTTCTACTTGCTGCAACCACCACCGGCCAACAAACATCCGACGATATTGACACCGAGTTCATCCGTCAAAGCTGCGAGTCAACTCGGTACCCAGACACCTGCTTCGCCTCTCTCTCCAACTACTCCAGCGCCGTTCAACATGACTCCGGCCGCCTCGCTAGGATCGCTATTCATGTCTCTCTCTCCAACGCCACCCACATGGCCAATTACGTCTCCAACATATCCCGCGACGCAGCAGACAAAAACAACAACATCACCAGGGAATCCGCCGCAATCAGCGACTGTTCATCGCTGTTTGAAGACGCTGTAGACGAAATCAAGAAGTCGAGAACGGAAATGAAGCGTCTGGGTCTGACCGGAGAATCGGTGAAGTTCCAGCTCAGCAACGTGCAGACATGGATGAGCGCCGCCTTGACCAACGAAGACACGTGTACCGACGGGTTTCAGAAGGTGGACGACGGCAACATGAAGGCGGACGTTTGTGATCGTGTGGCGGCTGTTAAGAGGGTGACGAGTAACGCTTTGGCGTTGGTTAACAGTTATGCCCGATAAGATATCGGCGTAGTGTTGACGAGCGGTTGTTAAAAGTGTTATAGGACTTGTGTGTGTAATTTGAGTGAAACAATTTTTATTTTTTTTAATTCTCCAATAAATATTCGATTTGGTGATAAAATGATTGATAATACTTGAAAAAAATATATATATTTACGTCGTTTCCTATATATGGTATGCATATTTATTTAATTTTATATCAAGTATGGTGAATTAAGGAAGAGTATTTTATATAATAATAATCTTATAAGGTATTTTTTTATTTTTTTTATTGGCAATTAAATAATTGATTTGGTGATAAACTGATTGATATTAAACAAATAATATATTTACATCGATTGTAATGGTATTTATATTTATTTAATTTTATATAAGGTATGATGAAGTTAATAAAGAGTTATACTTCAATAAATTTATAGAAGACTAAACTTTATAAAAATTATTGAAGTTTATTTGTTTTCTGTTTAATCATCGGATATCTTTTTGAGATCATGATTTTGTAAGCGTTGTGAAATTTTCAATAAAGAATTGCAGAAAAATGATTGGAAAAATATATTTTTATTTAAAATTTATTGATTTAAAAAAGCAAAATTAATGTGGTTAAATCATACATATATTCATTCGAATAGATAAAGTAATCAAATCCCAAATTAGTGGTTTTTAAAAATAATTCAAAATTTTGTCTTCTTAGACCATCTCCAACCAATTAGAATTTTTTCGTTAGAGGAAAAAATAAAGTAAATAGTATTTAATTTTCAATCATATTCTATTTTTTTTATCCTATTGTTTACCTTCAAAAATATATTTATAGTATATTCTATTATTTCAATTTACATTGTCAAACACACTCTTTTACTAATTTAGTTTTAACAAATATATAATCTATATTTTTTTCATTTCATTAAAATTAAATAAACAAAATTATACTTGTAATACACTTATAAATAAATATTATACATGCATTTATAAAAATATTACATATACACACTTTTAATATATTTTAATTATAAGGCTTTTGTAAAACGCGTTATCGTTTTTTAAAATTTTAATATGTATTTAACTTTTTATATGAATTTGATGAATAAAAAACAAATTTTATATTGATAATTAATTAATATAATTTAACAGTTCCTGACCAAGAAGTCGGTGGTTTTTCGCTAAGGGTCTGAGCAGCAGGCAGCCTTCGAGATGCTCAGGCAACGGTTATGCGAGACACCGATCTTAACATTGTCAGATGGAGTTGACGACTTCGTGGTTTACTATGACGCTTTGATCACGGGCATGGGTGCGGTATTGATGCAGCGGGGTCATGTGATAGCTTATGCTTTGAGGCAGTAGAAGCCTCACGAGGCGAACTATCCGACGCACGATTTAGAGCTGGGGGTTGTGGTTTTCGCCCTCAAGATTTGGCGGCATTACCTCTATGGTGTTCGTTGTACCATTTACATGGACCACAAGAGTCTGAGATATCTCATGGATCAGTCGAACCTAAATATGAGGCAACGCCAGTGGTTAGATGTGGTTAAGGATTATGACTGTGAGATCCTTTACCACCTGGGAAAGGCCAACGTGGTGGTCGATGCCCTGAGTCGCAAGGCAATAGTGGCCCCGATTCGAGACATCTATCTGAGGACGATAGTGATTACCCCATTATTGGAGAAGATCTGAGAGACGCAAGTTGAGGGCCTGAAGGAGGAGCATCGTAAGTGCGAGCGGATCATAGGCCATGTGTCCTCCTTTAATTACGACAGTTGTGGATTGTTGACCCTGCATGGAAGGGTCTACGTACCGTACTGGGGCGGAGTACGACAGATATTAATGGATGAGGCTGACAAGTCCAGGTTCTCCATCCATCCCTAGGTGACGAAGATGTACCGAGATCTTCCTCCTGATTACTAGTGGCCCTGCATGAAGCGGGATGTAGCCTAGTACGTAGAGAGATGTATGACCTACAGGAAGGTCAAGGCAGAGCACCAAAGGCCTCACGACAAGATGCAGTTGTTACACATCCCCGTGTGGAAGTGGAGGACATTACTATGGATTTTATCACAAAGTTTCCCAAGACCGCACGTGGGGTTGATTCGATATGGGTCAATGGGGATCGGTTGAACAAGAGTGCTCACTTTATCACGATCAAGGAGGGTATATCGGCCGAGATGTTAGCCGAGATTTATGTGCGAGAGGTAGTGGCATGACATGGAGTGCCTGTCTCGGTAGTGTCAGATCGAGATGTACATTTTGATTCTAGATTTTGGAAGTGGTTCCACGACGAGATGGGTACTCATCTCCACTTCAACACCACTTTCCACCCCAGACAGACGGACAGAGCGAGAGGACGATTCAGACTCTTGAGGATATGCTTTATGCGTGTTTTTTGGATTTCGGTGGTAGTTGCGATATGTATCTTCCGTTAGCGGAATTTTCGTATGACAACAGTTACCACGCCAACATAGATCGACCTCCCTTCAAGATTCTCTACGCGAGGAAGTACAGGACCCCAATCTGTTAGGGTGAGATCGGTCAGAGGATCATGGAGAATACTGAGGTAGTACTCAAGACCACCGAGCAGATCCAGCAGGCTCCAGACTGCTCAGAGTCGGCAGAAGAGCTACGCCGACAAGTGGTATTCAGACTTTGAGTTTCAGGTGGATGACATGGTCCTCCTGAAGGTGTCACCATGGAAAGGTGTCATTCGGTTCTGGAAGCAGGGAAATCTGGGCCCCAAGTATATCATCCCCTTTAGAGTCATAGCCCGGGTGGGCAAGGCTGCATATCAATTAGATCTTCCAGCAGAGCTCAGCCAGATCGATAAAATTTTCCATGTTTCCGAGCTACGGAAGTGCTTAGTGGATGGCATGAAGTTGTTCCCTTAGAGGATATTCTGGTTGATGACACCTTGAATTACATTGAGAGACTGGTGGTGATTCTGGATCGCAAGACGAAGGAGCTGAAGAACAAGAGGGTTGAACTACTGAAGGTGCAGTGGCAACACCGTAAGCTTGAGCACCTCAAGTGTGATGCCTCTAATGGTTCACAAACACCATATACAAGCGGAGACTTTAGAGAAAAGTTTATTTGGCACAAAATCAATCTTAATCTTTTAGAATCAAGTGGCGGCCGATTTTGACACTATGGGTATGTATTTATAATGTAGCAAATGCTAGGGTTACACTTTGTAACCCTAATGACCTTTCATATACTTGGGATCCATGGGTTAAACCTCCATGTACCATCCATGGATTAATGGTTTAGCCCATCCTAAATAACTATGGATCATTAGCCCACATTATAAATATCATTGATTTGCACAATCAATCCCTATATATTTAATTAGTCTCGTTTGATCACAAAATTAATTCCAAACTAATTCTTGATCAATACCAATTAAATAATATGATTTCTCAATTAATATATTATACTTATAATATATTAATAAATCATCAATAAACTTATTCTCAAAAGTCCATCCTATCAAATTGCATTAATGAAGGCAACCTAAAATGACCATGCTACAATCGGGTTAAGTACATCCCAGTTATAGTTATGGCTTAGACACTAAATCCAACAAATTTGGCACGCGGAGTTTAGTGGACCAACACGGCGTGTTGTGGTGTCTCAACACGGCGTGTTGAAGGCATGGAATGATACCCTAATTTTTAGGGTGTTGCACCCTATTTAAAGGCATTAAGTCCTCATATCCAACCTCCTTACCAGCCTTCCTTGTTATTAAAACCCTGAATCAAACCTTAAGCCTCTTTGTGGTGTTCTTGAGCTATTAGGGATTCCTTGGTGCAATTTTTGTGCGTTTTTGAAAGAAGATGAGATGTTGAAGTTGCTTTGCTTGGTGAGAAGACTTTGGATCCAGAACCATCTTCCTTTGTGTAAGCCTCCTGAGGTATCAAGTTTGAACCTTGTCTTATTAAAGTTTAGATCTCCTTTTTTTTGTGTTTTGTTGAGTTTTTGGCCCCATTTTGGGTTGAAGAGTGAAAGGAGTCGTTTTAGGGCTTGTTATTCCAGATCTGAGTTGTATCGGACCCCTTGAGCTTAGAGATAGAAGCTTTATGAGGAAATTTGGTTACATGCATGCGTTAAGTCACTTATTAAGTCCCTTTCAAGCTTAAGAGCTTCATTTAGGCATGCATGAATGTAAAGTTGGTAACTTTACATGATTTTCCAGTTCAAGGTTATTACGCCCTATGGTTTGAGTTTTGGACCATTTTTAGTAGTCCCTATGCATAAAGTTGGAAACTTTACCCTTATAAGTCTCATTTTGGTTTAGATCTAAGCTTGGGAGCTCTTAGAGTCGAAGAAAGCAGCTTAATGTGTTATGTTTTTGGAACTCGGGCAAACACAACGTGTTTGCTAGCCAACACGACGTGTTAGCTGGAGTTATCCCATCTATGAGAATAAAGGAGAAACATAGCGTGGCCAAGGAGAAACACAGCGTGTTGGGTCAACAAGGACTATTGACCTTGACTTTTGATGTTTTATGTTGACCCAGTTTAACCTAAAAGGGATTTTTAAGGTATCTTGAGTTGCATCTAAGGATTTGTTCTAATTAGGTGGGAGGTAGAGCTGATACTCGGAGTAGGGACCTATTCAGCTATCGTTCAGATTCAGAGGTGAGTTTCCTCACTGGGTAAAGTGGGTCTGAGGAATCAATGCTGACCCTTATTGATTATGCTAGGATGCTAGGAGTATGCGTGACCCTTTCATGTATTATGTGTTGGTATGTCTACCGGGTGGGGCCCGGTGACTGGGATGTATGCTAGTGTTTATGATCATTATATGTGTTAGTATGATTATGTGATATATATTGTATATTTGTAGTGGGCGAGGCCTAGGAATAATAGGTCTATAAACTGGGCGGGGCTAGATGTTGGACAAGGCCTATTGCATGGTAGGGCCCAGTGTGTGATTTATTATTTATGGTATGGGGTAACTTGCAGAAATCACTAAGCCTTACGCTTACAGTTTTCAATTTATGTTTCAGGTACTTC